AAATCAGGTAGTTGAAAAGTAAAACATTTTTACCTTTTAATGGTAAGAAACTGATCTGATTTATTTTCTTCTCCAATGAGTTGACTCATTGGATGGTTAAGTGAAGTATAGACATAGCAGTATGTGCTTTAATTTTACAAAGTCATTTTACCGTATCACAGAGAATTGGCCTCCATGTTAGGTAATAATGTTTGTTCATAGTGTTGTTTATAGTTTCACTTACAGTTGATCATAGATTAAAAGCTGATATTTTTCAGTATTTCTATAGTACTGGCAATTTTGTCAGTTGGCAATATTAAATTGTACTGACACAGTATTCCTAGATAGGGCATGTAAAGCTGGCTGGTATAATGAAGAGAGGCGCTGACCTTGGAGTTAGAAGACTAGGTTTCTACATCATACTCTTCCACTAAATAGCTTTGGGCATGTATCTCTTTGTCATGCTGTGACATGTTGTCTGACTGTGACAACATCTGTGACTCTGCTTAGACCTTGACAATTGATCCAAGAAAATCTGACCAACATACCTGGTTACTAATGGAAAATACGCTTTTGCCAGCAAGCAGAGATTTTGAGTACAATAATTTTGTCAGTTATGCATTGCTAATAATGCCATGAAGAGTACATATTTTTTGGCTGTCCCACATCATATTTAACTGTCAATCATCTGTTCAAATTCTGATTGTCCATTCTGTATAAGATTCTTACAGATTAAAGGAAGATTTCCAACTACTGGAAAGAGAGTGGTGGAGCTGATTTCTACCAATATATTACTATATTAACTGGAACATTATAATGTTACTATATTAAATTAGAACCGTTCATAGCTGTCTATTTAGTGACAGAGTTCCTTTTTTTTTTTTTTTAAGAATTAGTGAAGTAATGATTTGTTTCTCTTGCTAGATTGTAAGCTCCATGATGGCAAAGACTATGTCTGCCTTGCTTCCATTTGTAACTAAAATCTAGCAGAATGCCTAGGCTAACAAAAAAATTTTGGTTAATAAGTGAAAAAAGATAAATTAATTCCCTCATCTGTTAATCTATAGGCACGTCATAGAATTATCATCTGGTACAAGTGAAAGAATTACTTGAAGTTTGTATGACAACTGTTATTTTGATTTATACAGATGATTCAGATTGGATAAAGGTTGAATTAAGACATTTGGTCAGGTGTAATGCTCAATAAATTGAGCATTCACTGAGATTAGTAAATGCTGTTATTTCAGTGGATTGCAATTGTTTAAAGTCTGGTGTATGTAATCTTTATTGTGGTCCACTTTAATCAGGCATACCAGTGATCTGTAATAGAATCATGCCACAAAGAAATTTGTTTTTGCACTCGGAAAAATTCTCATATGTTTGGTTGTTTGCTTCTAGACAGTTTGTGGATTAGGCCAGGTGCAGTGGCTCACACCTGTAATCCCAACACTTTGGGAGAGTGAGGTGGGAGAGTTGCTTGAGCCCAGGAGTTTGAGACTTGCCTGGGCAACATAGCAAGACCTCATATCCATTAAAAAAACAAAAACAAAAAACCTTTTTTTAATATAAAAAAGCAATCAAATCAATTTCTAGGTAAATTTTAACAGATTTGTTTAAAAAACAACAAAACACACCCAAGTGGAAAGTTTTTCCCTTCTTCTGAAAGATGATTATCTTTTTTTTTTTTTTTTTTGAGATGGAGTTTTGCTGTTGTTGCCCAGGATGTAGTGCAATGAGTGATCTTGACTCACTGTAACCCCCGCCTCCTGGGTTCAAGTGAGTCTCCTGCCTCAGCCTCCCCATTAGCGGGGACAGGTGTGTGCCACCATGTCTGGCTAATTTTGTATTTTTAATACAGCTGGGTTTTCACCATGTTATACTGGTCTCAAACTCCCAACCTCAAGTGATCCACCCAACTCGGTTTTCCAAAGTGCTGGGATTATAGGTGTGAGCCACTGCACCCGGCCAAAAGATGATTATCTTTAATTCCAGGAAGTTTTAGAAGTATAATGAATCACAGATCTTTTAAATAAATATTTCCCTATTTGAATTGTTTCCTAGAGTTTACACAGTTGTACCTTATTACCAGTTTAAATGGATAGCTCAGCTAATAATTTTCAGTAGCCGAAACTATCAAATATCAAAGATTAGTTACTATGAAAAACACGTTTACTTTGGAGATCAACTGTAATACACATAAAATTAGAGCAACCAAAGGCATGTATGGAGCATTTTTTAATTTAAAAAATTGTATTTTGTTTCTCATACCTTATTAAAAACATTAAGAAGTAAATGTCTTTAGTTTTTGAATACATTTTTATATGAATAGGAAACATGCTGTTTTCATAATCCAGTCTTTTGATGTGTGTGAATTGAATTTGTGTGGAATGTTATGTAAATTTTTTTGAGCTTGTTTTTTATTGTTGATCTAGAAATGCTTGTGATAACCTAGAATTCCAGAGCTTGACTTCTTATGTGAATAACAATGATTGAAGATTTTGGATAGGGAGCTAACTTTGCCATGGAATTGAGGTACTAATTATTTGTGTAGGATTGATGAATTTAGGATCAAAAGTAGAGGTATGACACATTTCAAAACTGCCTTAGAGCAGGGGGGTGTTCAATCTTTTGGCTTCCCTGAGCCACACTGAAAGAAGAATTGTCTTGGACCACATATAAAATACACGAGCACTAATAGCTGATGAACTAAAAAAACAAACAAAAAAAACCAAAAATCTCATAATGTTTTAAGAAAGTTTATGAATTTGTATAGGCCCCCATTCAAAGCCATCTTGGGTGGCATGTGGCCTGCGAGCTGCAGGTTGGACAAGATTGCCTTATAGCATCATAACTACAGTAGTGTACAAAGATACAAAATACCATCTGGTAAATTCTTTTCCCAATATTATTTCAGAAATCATCTTTTTGTTATATCTCAATCTACAGTACTTACTACACTCCTACAAGGTACCTAGTAAGCCACACTAACATTACTTATTTCCTAAGTGAATTCACTCTCCTGGTATCAACAGTAAACGACGTTTCCTATGTTAAAGTTTATTTCAAATCAGGGATAGGTTGATGTCATCACCATACTCATTCAGCTGTGAGTATTTTGAAGGCCTGCAAAAGTATTATATATATAAAATCTTGATTGTTATTGAGATTTATAGGTTTTGTTTTTGATAGCCTAATGGCAACTTAGAATACGTTATTAAGTCATTTTAGCCTAAAAATAGCATTCATTAACTTTCAGCCTAAGTATCATTTGAGTTGTGAATGTACATGTGTGTATATATATGCACACATATAAATCAAATTGAATGTTACAGGTATGGTTCAAATCATTATTGGAACCCGTCCTTCAATTAGGTTTTCAAAATCTGAAAATATTGGCAATCTTTTTATATATGTAATATTTCCATTAGATAATTAGCTTTCAATTAGATAATTACCTTTAGATTTTTATTATATTTTACACATCTTTCTTGAACTGAACTTTATTGTATCACATGTAGAATTTGACCATTTCTTATCATATAAGAGGAATATAATAAAAGATTTTCTAAATTTTACTTTCAGTAATTTTTTTCTGAGAAAGAAAAATTTTGCTCATTATTTCCAGAATCACAGATGCCTTTTCTTAGATAACCACTGTTTGGAACAAAAATGTTTTGATAATTAAGGATTTAGAATAAAATCTGAATGTTTAATTAAAATTCCAATAGATGGCTTTCTTAGTACTTTAACAAATTAAAAACAAATTTTAACTTAAAATATTTTAGAAATTTTACTTAATACATCTATTTAATGAAGGCTGCTTTTAAGAACTTTAAATCCTCACATAAACACCACCACCTGCAAAGTATTAATATAAACTTTTTCAACAAAATGCCTGCTATGTATAAGCTACTGAAAGAAGACAAAAATTAATAAAATGTATCCCTCCTCTTAGATATCTGTAATCTAGGAAAATGAACACATTCTTTTCAGACACTAAACTCCATAAGAAAAAGCATCAGATCTATCTTATTTACCACCACATCCTCAGAATGTAGCACAGTGCCTGACACATAATAGATGCTCAGGGGTTTATAGTCAGTGAATAAGTGAAGAAATGAGTGAGCAAATATCTCTTAAAAAGAATGTACTTTTAAAGTTAACAAGCAGTGATGTGTTATTCAGTAGGCAAATACGTTTCTTTCCTAATTTCGTAATTCAATTTTCCCTGCTTCCTACTATGACTAGATGTTGGTTGGTGATAGTTTATATGATTCAGTTATTTGGTTGGTTGATTTAAAACAGTGAAATATCCTACAAACCTGCAGTTTGTCCTGCTATCCTCTAGATGGAGATCCTTTATAATTTTGGTCAAAATGTGTGTGTGTGTATATATATATATTTAGATGGAATGGCCCCTTACCATTATTACATGTGGTTTTTAGAATTGTCATCCAAGGTTTTTTTTCCATGCCGAGTCCTGTTTTACTTTGGATACATTTCAGAAATAAAGTCACTTTTTTTGTTAGAAGTTAGTGGAGTTAGAAAGTCAGATGGGGTAAATGTTATTTATTTAATTCCTTATTTTTGGAATTTTAAAAAGCACAGAAATAAATAATATGAAGAATAGAGAAAGTTTCTCTGAATTCAGGGAGGAAGAAAAATTATTTGTGAATAACAGCATTCAGTTCACTTCTAGCTTCATGATTTTTTTTTTTGAAATAGTTGTCCTTCCTAAGTTTCTTCATTGATTCCATTGCCCTGCTGTGTATAATTTAACATTTGTTTGGATGTGTAGGGTAGCCTGTGTAGTCAGAATTTTCAGACCTAATAATGGACATTGTATGAACTCTCTCTGAGGATTCTTCTGGACATTAGTTCTTACCTTGACAGTCAGATAAAATTAAGGACTCGGGGAGTAGATTTCTGTTAAACCAGAATAATGTCTTAAAAAAAAAAAAACTTTATATAAAGAAACAGTAGCAATCGCCTTATGGGTACACCTTTATATATTTTAATAGTAATATGGACAAGTTAGGCCCTCCACTTCGAACGGGAAGACTTGTGCAAAGGTTGTATGACAGTGATACAAAATCAGACAGTGCCATCAAAAGACATGAGTTATTACCTATTTACAAGTAAGTATTTGTAACTCAGTTTGGTTAATATTTTTCAGATATTTCCTTAAAAGCTTTATGTAATGGAATAATGTAAGTTTTACTGTCCTATACTTAAAAAAAAATCTGTTTAATAATTTCTAAGCCAAAATGTGTTGAATAATCTAGGATTTAAAACATTTTGATTTTTAGTAAGCATTTCTGTTGTACTAAATAAAACTGTTTTTAGATTATACATTTATTCCATTAAATATTAATTTTTGGAGATTTTAAATTGCAGTCTCATTTAATTGGTTTTTTTTTGAAGTCTTTTTAGTAGTAATTAGGATTTTTTTTATAATAGTAGTTTTAAAAAGTAGAGTTTGGGAAAAATAATGTCTCATGCAGTTTATAATATTGTTAGATTATCTTTTAGATAAGCATATTGTGAACTATTATAAAAAGCCTGGAAAAAGAAAAGATTTTAGGAAACTTTCAATCCAAGGGTCCTTAGTCTTTTTGTTAGATGGTTGTAAATTCCACCCACAACCGGGAGAGTATGACACTGCCAAAGAGTCAAACTTGGGAAAGAGTATGACACAGCCAGTTTTGACTTGGCTGGCTGAAAAGAGTGTGTGGCAATGGCAGTTACTTTGAAACTCTAGAGCATGAGCTTTCAAGGTTTACTAATTTGGGTCTCAATTGTAGCCCGCATTTTAAATATGATTTTAGGACCTAAAAATTAATTTACCTATTAATGGTGGAAAATATTAGCCAGAGTAACTTAGTTAACTTTTCAGCCAACACCTACTACAGCAGTCTGCTCAGTATATATGTATGAAAAGTAGTAACAAATTTAACTAGGTAAATAAAAATAAGAGAAGTCTTTAAGATACTAGCAGCAGCCATTTGCTATTTTTAAGTAGTTAGTGATAAATCTTAGCAGGTAGAGTTTGTGCCGTGAGCCATTTTTCATTTTGCTGATTCTACTGTCAGAACCCTCTGATGCAGATCTCACAGTAACAGTGACTAGCAGTAAGATGGATTAAGTACAATTCCAAAATTAAACCTTCTTAATTATTAATATGAGTTGTAACAGGTAGATTCTAGATACAGAGTTAAGAGTAATGCTTTGCAGATTCTGAACAGAAAAAAAAATTTGTGGACTGTGTAAGAATGGGGCAAGATGTTTCAAGTGATCAAGGCCGTTCTATAAGTTACTAAAAATAAATGACAGGTATTTAATATTGGTAGCTATTAATGATGATAATCTCTTATATTTTCCTCTAAATATAAATATTTTGAACAACCTCAAGTTACCGATATGGTGACATGTGTATATATTCATGGGTGTGTTTGTATTGTTCGTATATTTCATTCACTTAAGATGATTCTATAGCCGCCCTCCCCCGAAAAAGAGTGTTCTTCCTATTTAAATGCCATTCTTTGACAATGATTTCCTAGAGATTGAATTTCTAGAAAGAGACTCTAGTAGTTCTACAACATCCCAAAAGAGGCTATACACAAGAGTAGAGTAAACCTCATGAATGAACTTGGAGTGTGCATTTGAAGAGGTGCAGGGCATTCCATTCATGCACCAAAGTGATTCTTTGCTTGTTGAAGTTTAGAAGTAATTTAAAGAAGTAACCATGCAAAGCAACCACTTTGAATGACAGCATTGTGTATTGAATATAAGTTCTGTAATACAGCCCACTGAAGTTCAAGTACTGCTGTAGCCACATAGTAGCCTCACAATTTATATAATCTCTTTGAACATGCTTCCACTTTAAAATGGGAATAATATCTTCTGAGATTTGGGGGACATTAAGTAAGGCATGTGTAGTACCTGGCTTCATATTTGTCTTGTAATGGCTGTTTGAAAAATAGTGGATGTTATTACCTGCATGTACTTTGGAAGCAGCTATTTACAATTTTAGGGTACTCTCTCCTACTTTGCCATGCAAGTAGAGTAAGAAGAATTTCCACTAAAGTTTAAGAACCTCTAATCTGGAGGTATTTTTTTAAAGTATTCTACTGTTCATATAACACAACACTGCTCACTTGTGAAATTTAAAGATTTGGTTAAAGCTTTATAGAGAGGGAGGGAACTATGCTTTAATGAACATCTAAATCCTAGCTTTGGAACATACTAGCAGTGTCACCTTGGGTAAGTTACTTAGGGGTTCTTTGCCTCATTTGTCTTATCTGTAAATGGAGTTATTAATGCTATCTATTTCATAGGATTATTAGGATAAATAAATTTCTATGGACAAAATAGAATTGTACTTGACATGGAGTAAACACTATTATTATAAATGTTAACTTGCAGTGGCAATAACAGTAGTAATAGTATTAGCATCAACTATCTAAATGTTTATATGAATTGTACTTTTTATCTCATAACCTTTCTATAAGTGATCATTTTATAAACAGTGAGATTCAGACTTACTGTCACGACACTGTAAGTAGCATTGGCATTTGAATCTAAATTCATTTGCATTCCCAAGCCTCTACTTTTAGTGTTATATCATCATCATTTCGCTTTCTAAACCTTCTTTGATTCTTAAAGTTTCAAAATGGAGACTCATGGATGATCCAACCAGAAGTCCCTCTGATTTCGGATAGCCCAGGCTGTGCAGTTGGTAAATTAAATCTTTAAAGGGAATATTATATTAACTCATTTATTTTAGTTGCTGCTTTTTAGAACTTTCATAAATTGAGTATTATTCTTTAATGTGACTAGCAAAAACTTCTTTTTTTAACTACATCGTGTATGCTTAGAATAATAATGAAACTTGTGTGTTTATTTAACAGTTATCCATAACCATTTATCAGAACATATGTTTTGAGAGAAATATAAATTTAAACTGTTTTTAAAAATGTGTCTTTCAGAATAATTACCTTATAAATTTCATGTAAAGCATATATACATATTTTAGTTGATTTTATTTACTATCAGAATAGTGTTAGTAAGTGCAAAATTCTTTGGTTTATCTTTAATATTAACTGCTATTTGCTTTCAGATTTAAAATAATTATTGGGACTTTAATCTTTTGAACTTCTCTGAAGCTTCTAAGTATTCTTTCTAATCATGTGAGTAGGTAATTTGAGAAATGCATGCTCACTGTTCAATACTTTTCCATTATTTTTTCTTTTTTTCATAGAGCTAATGTCAAACCTCGAAATTCCACACCACCTAGTTTGGCAAGAAATCCTGCCCCAGGTGTGCTTACAAACAAAAGAAAAACGTATAATGAGAGCTACATAGCCAGGTATGTTTAGCTCTGCTATTCTAATAACTAAAATAAAAATGAGTATATGATAGTTTTCCAAGGACAATATACAAAAGTAAGTAACAAGCTATTTGTAGAAAAGCTGATTTTTTTTCTTTTAATATGGCTTTTAAGATGTACAGCTCTGATGGATTTGGGCAAAGTAAACTGAAAACCTTCCGTAAAGGATTAACCATTCTACATGCCACTAAGAACATATGTGATTTATGGGAGGAGGTCAGAATATACACATTAATAGTTTGGAAGAAGTTCCAAACTTCATGGATGACTTTGAGGGGCTTAAGACTTCAGTGGAGGAGGTAACTGCAGATGTGCTGGCAAAATAGCAAAAGAACTAGAATCAGAAGAGAAGCCTGCAGATATCATTGAACTGCTGCAATCTCATGATAAAACTGGAATGGATGAGGAGTTGTGATGGCTCACGCCTGTAATCCCAGCACTTTGAGAGGCTGAGGCAGGTGGATCGTCTGAGGTGAGACTAGCCTGGCCAACATGGTGAAACCCTGTTTCTACTAAAAGTACAAAAATTAGTCGGGCGTGGTACATGCCTGTAATCCCAGCTACTTGGGAGGCCAAAGCGGGAGAATTGCTTGAACCTGGGAGGCGGAGGTTGGAATGAGCTGAGATGGGGCCACTGCACTACAGCCTCGGTGACAGAGCGTGATTCCATCTCAAAAAAAAAAAAAACAAAAAAACAAAAACGGTTTCTTGATATGGAATCTACTCCTGGTGAAGATGCTGTGAACATCGTTGAAATAACAAAGGATTTAGAATATTTCATAAACTTAGTTGATAAGGCAACAGCAAGGTTTGAGACAGTTGACTCCAATTTCAAAAGAAATTCTACTGTGGGTAAAATGTTATCAAATAGCAGCATCACATGCTACAGAGAAATGATTCATGAAAGGAAGTCAATCGATGTGACACACTTCATTGTTTTATTTTAAGAAATTACCACAGTCACCCCAATCTTCAGCAGGCACCATCCTTGATCAGTCAGCAGGAATCAACATTGAGGCAAGACCCTCTACTTGCAAAAAGTTTACAACTCCCTGAAAACTCAGATGATTGTTAGAATCTTTTAGCAGTAAAGTATTTTTAAAATTGTGTACATGTATACATTGTTGTTTTAGACATAATACTGTTGCACACTTTAAAGACTACAGTATAATACAAAATTGTATATGTACTGAGAAATCAAACAAATTCATGTAATTTGCTTTATTGCAATATTTGCATTTTAGCAATGGTCTGGAACCAAACCTGCAGTGTCTCCAAGGTATGCCTCTACATACCTTCTTTATAACATAAAAACTTTAATATCATGCAGCTGTCTTGTACAGCTATCTGTTCTCCTCAAAATTAATGCATAAATTTAGTGAAATTTTCAAATGAAATTCATGCATCTTGACAAGTTGTTTTCAAAATGTATACGAAGCACAAAAGCCTAATATTAGCCAGAACAAGTTAAACAGAAAAATGTGTGAATGATGTATGAAGCCACAGTAATTAAGATGTGATACTGATTCAAGAATAGACAAACAGAACTCTATCAGAGTGGGGTGGTAAGCAAGAGACCCCAACCTCATAAGTAACTGGAAATTTGCCACATTTCAGAACTAGCAGTACAGATTTGGGAAGTGGGAGTGCTGGGGCTATTGGACATCCATCCATATGTAGAGAAAAACTTTCTTCCTCATATCAAGTATAAAAAATATCAGTTACATGTGAACTAAATTAGGCCTAAATGCAGAAAGGAAGGCTATCCAGATTTTAGAATAAAACAGAAGAAAGTCTCATTTTCATCTGAGTTAGGAAAGGATTTCTTGAATAATTTAGTGAATGCAAATTGTATGGCAAAAGATTGATATATTTAATCCTATTTAAAGGAAAACTAGTGCTGTAGAAAGCTCCATGGATAGAATGAAATAGCATGATAGCTTGAGAGAGAATACCTACTATATACATAAACCAACAAATTATTGTCTAGGAATTGTGGGGAGTTTCTATCAATAAAGTTTTAAAAAACCCATACAGTAGAAAATGGCTTTGGGTTTTGGTGGAAGTAGGGGATAGGGAATAGTCAGTTCACAGTTCACAGTAGGAGAAATCCGAATGGCAAAAATAACACAAACATATGAAAAGATATTCAGCCTTATAAGCAATCAGGAAATGTACATTATATCAGTGGTAGGCTACCATCCATTTCACTCTCATCAGGTTAGCAAAACCAAAAAACTCTTCACAGTACGAATTGTGTTAGAAAATGTAAGACACCAAGAAACCTCATATACTACCATTGAGACTATAGATTTGCCAGCCATTATGTAAAGAAATTAGGCAATATCTAGTTAGGTTGAAGTTTTGATATTTATTAATGTTGGTATGTGTGTTGAGTTCCTTGAGTGTGTATACGCTAACACTGAATTTATGACCTTTTATTTTTTTAAATAGTTCTTACATATATTGTTGGCAATAAAGCTGACTTATTTCCCCTTGGTACTCTTTCTTGATTGGGGTTATGTCTTCTAATTCATTAGCGGGTCTTCTTTGTGGTTTAAATAAATTATGCTTATGCTATAAATTTGCTCTCAATATCTAAGAGTATATTTCTTGATGCAGGACATTTAGCTTTATTTTTGTCTCTTTTAGATCCCTAGTGCCTTTTATTAGAAAATTCAGTGTTCATTTGTTTGTTTGTTTTTGTCACTCCTAAATTGCTTGTATGAAAGATGCACTCAAACTAGGGAGCACCTAGAATTCTTCAATAACTACCTCTGTGGATATAAAAAGAAATTTATTTTTTCCAGTAGTGTCATGCTTATAATTGTCCTAGCAATGAAGAGTTCCTTTTCTGGGGACTTTAAATTAAGTATCATGTTCTCAGAAGAACACATGCCAGGAGGGAATGTAAACATATTTCTATAGGAATCAAATAGCTGTTCTTCCAATTAATTATTTCATCAGTAGAATCTGGATTTCTTTAATGACTGACATTTGTGATAAAACCTTTATAATCTGAAGCTTTTTGCTATAAAATGTTGTTACGGTGTATAGTTCATCTAGCATCTATTTTACCTTTATTACTGTTTTGTTAGTAGATAATAGAGACCTCCCTGTGAGGGCAATGCGCATAAGAGTTTGTTATTTATTGCATTACAATAATTTAATATCATTAAGTAATAAAATTAAAATAAATACTAGAGGTATCACCTCACAGTCCTTGTGACCAAGGAGAGAGACTTGAAACCTAAGGATCTCTTATCTTTCTTCAGGGTTGTGTTCTAGTTTTCTCTTTAGAGATGGGTTTGCAGAAAGGACATCATAAATGTTCATTCTACTCCCAGTGTAGTAAATTCCTAGCAGAAAGAACAGATGGAAAGTGATGTGATTTGGATTTGTGTCCCTGCTCAAATCTCATGTCATATTGTAACCCTCAACGTTGGAGGAGGGGCCTGGTGGTAGGTGATTGGATCATGGGGTTGGACTTCCCCGTTGCTGTTCTTGTGGTAGTGAGTTCTCACCATATCTGATTGTTTAAAACTGTGTAGTACCTGCCCCTTCTCTTTTCTTCTTCTGCTCTCACCATATAAGACATGCTTGCTTCCCCTTTACCTTCTGCTGTTGCGACTTTAATTTTCCTGAGACCTCCCCAACTAAGCTTTCTGTACAGCCTGCAGAACTGTGAGTCAGTTAAACCTCTTTTCTTTATAAATTAACCAGTCTCAGGTAGTTCTTTATAGCAATGTGAGAACACACTAATACAGAAAGCATGGCTGCATTTAGTTATGATAAATTCTCATAACACAGATAAATATAATGTTAAAGAAAAAAATGTTAGAATTATAGTATTTACTAACAAGGATTTTTTTTAAAATTTGGACTAGAGGAATATTAAAAATGAGATTAAGCAGGATAATTGTTATATTTATGCCGTGTTTATCCAGGGTTATGGGTTGAAAACTACTGATATGATCTTTATCTTTTCATTTTTTCATTACTTTTTTAGGCCAGATGGAGACTGTGCATCTTCCGTTAATGGTGGAAATATTAAAGGCATTGAAGGAAATTCACCTGGAAACTTACCAAAATTCTGCCATGAGTGTGGGACTAAATACCCTGTAGAATGGGCGAAGTTTTGCTGTGAATGTGGCATTCGAAGAATGATTCTATGAATAGAATCTCAAAAAAAAAAAAAAAGCCAAGTTCAGAGTTTATGATGATTGCTGCTTGGACAGCTAGAGCACATCCTTTAGTTACTTTGTGCTAAAAATACTCAAAATACCATTTCCAGTAATTTTGGAGCATCATCTTTTGGCTATATAATGTGTGTGTGTTTATATGTGTATATATACTGTATATAATAAATATCTGATACCCCAGACTGTGTCATTCAAGGAAATACTTATCTGTCAGAAAATAATTTCAAATGGAACAATTAATTTAGGTGTTACTTTTCTGTTGTTAAAGCACATTAAGTACATTTCCACAAACTCTCATACTCTAGTGCTTAGCCCTTCAGGCTTTAGGATAATTATAACTTTCAGCAAAAAATTTGAGTAAACATTTGTATTATTGGTGCCTATCTTCAGATAGTATCATAGTAGGATAGATGCTGGGAATTTTGTAATTGAAGAGAACGGTTTTAGTTACCATTAGGTGTGTAAGGTCACTCCTGTAGAGCATGTCAACAAATTATTTTATAAATCTTAAAAACTAAGAGAAAAAAAATCCTCTATTATGTAATTTAAACATCCTACTTGTTTTGTAAAAATGTAATTATGCAATTTCCTTTTCAAAAGCACAGGACTAAAAATACAAATCTATCTTATTCTATTTATAACAGATTTTTTTTACTTCTGTATGTATGCGTTGAACATATTTTTTTACTTCCAATTGTTTCTAGATTTCACTTTTTTCTTCCTTTTCCATAACCCATGAAGATAGTTTTAATTTGCCAGTTCATTTTTTGCTGTATTTGAAAATGAATTATTTACTATAGAAGGCACTGAATTCCCTGCAAAATCTCACATGTTTAAAAACATGTAATTGTATCTGAATTTAGAATAAATTATGCTAATGCATCTTAAAACAAATAACCTCACCTAATCATAATAGTTATGGTAACCTAATCATTAGTGCAGAGCATGCAGATAAAAAATATATGAAATTTTTTTTTTCTTGAAAGTAAATGTAGTTATGAGTAGGTTAAGAGAATATCTAATTTTCCTACTCATATTTTCATCTTTAGCGTTTAATGTTGAAACACCATTCACTTCACAATAAGGACCCACTGAAAATGTATTGTTTTAATGCATAACTGACATCTAATTAAACATACACACAAATTTAATTATTTTTTCTCTTTAACCTGATCACGACACAGCTCTTAACCATTGTCACTTTCAGTATAGCATAGTAGTTAGTAGTAAATTTCCTTGATGGCAGTAATTCTGTAGTAATTTCTATTCAATCAAACCTAAGAGAGCTTTGGTCTTACTGTAAAGGTACAAGAAATTTTTTTATATAATTCCTAGCTTTTTGTTTATGATTCTGATCAACTATAAGACACAATGTAAAGATTTCTGGCTTATAATTTCTCTAAAACTTATTAGCTTTGTTTAGTTTGGGCAGGAGTTATAAACTTAATAGGAATTGTCATTTTACTTACAGTTTCTTTCCTGATTAGTTATTTTTTTTTCCCCTCAGTTATCTTTATTCAGTCATATTGGTCAAAACAAACAAATAGTCCATCAACTAAAATAAGCTGTAATGAATTTAGAAGACGAATGCACATATTAGATTTCCATTTAAATCACTTGTGTTACAAATCGTACGAAGAACTTACAACTTTTTTTTAAAGTATTTTTTTAAAACCACAATTTTTTGTCTGTTCAAAGAAAGGTTAGATACTTGGCACACATTTGTTTCTCACTGAATTTTACAGTAGTAAATAAATGTTATAATGTACCATAAGGAGATGAGTTAGTAAGAAATCATCTAGTTCCAGAGCCCAGAGATTATAAACAGTAGGTGAAATAGATTTATGACTTACGAAATATGTTGTGACAATATATTTAAATGCATTTTTACATTACTTGCATATTCTCACATTGATTTGTGCAATAGTTCAGTTTAAAAAAAAAACTTCCTGTGCATCATGTATTTTATTTTTATTTATTTTTACAAGTATTTGACACTATGGTAGAATAAAAGATGATTGTAAGATTAAAAGTGTAAAAATTGCTTGTGTATTCTGAAATGTGTTAGGTTGAAAAAGTAAGATGATCGTGGTGACTTATTTCTTGTCCACTATATGTTTGTTTTTTTTGTTTTCTCACCAATAATGTCTTCATATTTAAACCTATTCAATAAAGACATGAAGCGTAAAAATGCTAGTTCGTATTCACTGATGTCTTTTAGTCATACATAGAAAGATGGGAACCCAATGAAATATAAATATTTGAAATCAAAAATACAGATTTTTACAAATAAAAAGTAGCTCTTCATTGGCTGTATTCTTATGCCATCAGCTTTTTAAAATGTGTTACCATTTTATTGAAGTGTTTTCTGACATCAAAGTATTAGAAATGTTTTTGTTACAAGTATTTTAAGGCATTATTTTCATAGACAATATATTTAACAGTCACAAACGTTTGTGATGTCAAGGTTAATAGGAAACATCGACGTTTCTAGGTAAGAACTATACAGTTTAATGGCAAAAGTTATCTGTGATTAATATTTAGTATTTTAGATCATCATATTGAAAATTAAAAAGGAATTTAGTGAAAATTTCAGATTAGATATGTTTAATTTTTTCTTAGGTTAAAGGTGAGCACTTAACCATGAGTAGAAACTCTGGAGATGAAAAAATATTAGAACAGACAGATAACAAAGAATCATCACAATGCTTGGGTATTTATTTTAATTGAATGTGTATGTATTTTACATGGTAAGTATTTTTTAGTATTGAGATAGGTTGATTTTTTTCAAATGACTGTTTTATTAAATAGAACTGTGGAGAAATTAAAGCCACAATAATTTTTATTTTCATTTAGAAAAATTTCAGTTAAATGTTACTCAATGCTCCTTATTTTAAACAGTTTTACTTAGCCTGTATGTGAATTGCTTTTTAGCCACTAGAGGGTGCATTTGGATAATTATTTCATAATATTACTGGCCTATTATTTTTAAAGGCTTCTCGGCAATATACATACGATTTTTTGACAACACGAAATTACAGAGATTTATAAGGGTAGTTTTATTTGTTTTGTTGTGATTTTAATAATGTGTTTATATCTTAGAAATTTTGCCCAGCTCTACTGGGGCACGAGGATTGCAGTAATTGTTAGAGATATTTAATAATTACAATTCACGATATTTTGTTAGCAAAATTATGCGTCTCAAGCATATCACTTATGGACATTACATGGGTTAGTAAATACTCCTTGAAATATTACTTTAATATTTCATCTTAGTTCTACCACAGTTTAGTAGGTTATAGTCTCATTTAAGATAAGGATCTTTTTTTCCCCAATCCTCTGGTCTAATTTAACATTATCTAACACATGAGGGTATGATCTATTTAAGTAGGAAGCTAATAAGTGGTTAGACCAACTACTGTAAGGCGCACAAAGCTAACGCTTTGTACTTACCATTGAATAACGCTTTTATGTGCTCTTTCTGGTTATGCAATGATGCGGATCGAGAGAATAAGATGTGATTAAGTGTCTGCCCTCAAGTTGATACAATTCATTTGGAGAAACCGATACCTAAACAGACAATTACAATGTGGGACAAAAATAAGTGATTTATTTTAACGGAACTTTTGTTTATCATGAAGGTACCAACAAAGCGCGGCAGAAATATTAAAGAGGGAGCTTCTTAGAACCATAAATTATACAGCTGACCATGTCCCATTTTTCTTTTCTTCCTTGTGCCAATGCTTGGGAGGAAACCAGAGTATGAACAAGAACTATTTTACCTTCTAGTGGAGAAAGGACAGTTTGCAGTGGAAAGAACGTGTACGTGGTCCGTTTGATCTGTAAAATGTGAACTGCTTCTGTAGTCCTGAGGACTGAGGAAAAGAGATGTTGAGTAAAAGTTACTGATAATTCCAGCTGTTCAGTCTTACCTCACTTTTTCCTCTCTTTCTTTCTCTGCCCAAATACCTCTACTTCTGTGCCTACTTTAAATTTGCAACAGTGAGGCTGGGGATAGGAGACAGCCAGTAGTGCTGAGTACTGTCAAGTACAGTTAACAGTGAAATGCTGGTTTTTACTCATCAAATAAGCAATCTTAAATTATCATAAAACTGAAAACCTGAGGCGTTAAGATGAATGCCCTTATGTGATGGTGGAAACATAAATTGATGATAATTTTTGAAAAGGTCAACTAAATTTACGTTAAAAGCCTTTAAAACATTTGTGCTTCATAACCTAGTAATTTTATTTCTAAGACACACTTAGGGAAATAATCTGAATATAGGAAAATATTTATGCAAAATATGATAAATAGTACTGTATAGTGGTAAAGTTGAAGAAATTGGCCATTATAGCAATTTTAAATAACTTTAATGGCATAACAAGTTTGTTTTATTGCTAATTTTTAAAAAGCAAATAGGTTACTGTTTTTCAAAGTTAATCATGTTCATCTGCCAATATTTAATCTGAAACTGCCACCTTTTACATTGTTTTCTAATGTTCACAAATGTCTTGTGATCTAGTTAAGCTAGTTTGTTTTTATAATAACTATTGCTGAAAATGGTGTATCAATTATAGGTATAATTTTAATGAAATTATTGTTCCTAATGTCATTCAAGAGGACATTCTATTTTTTTAATTTTTAAACTTTTATTTTTTGCTTTCAGTAAGCATTTTGCACATTTTAAAAATTGCAATTTTCAGGATGTGTAAGAAAAATATTTTTCTAATATTGAAATAAGCATGTCTCTGGTATAGAAATCACACCCTATGTGTGATCTTTAACTAAAAACCTAATCAAGAACTATGATCTAATATGATAAACAAAACTATTCTTTGCCCATCCATCTGTCCCCTTTCATAGCCCCATTGTGGGACTTTAGAATATGGTTCTGTACATATCTCCATATCTACAAAGAATTAAGATGCCATATATGTTCAGAAGTTATATATGGTAGAGAATTAATTAGCTTATCCTTGACACATAATACAAAACACCAAAAGCAATATAAGTACAGGACAAGCAAAATAGAGCATTGTCATTAAGGTCAAATAATAGAAAAACAATCACATCATTTACATTTGATGCATTGGAAACAAAGTAACTTTATAAGTATTATGTGAACAGTTTGCAAAGCTCAAAAGGTAACAGCACAGAGCCATAAATTTGATAAGGTACTTTAAAGATAGCAATCAAACATATAAAAATACCAACTCCAAAAAAACTGTAAAAGTAGTAACCATAAAAATAGGGAGGAATGTATGCATTCTTTCTCGATAGTCTTTCATTTTCCAAAGGAAAGCCTTCTATAAAAATATAGAATTCCAAATATATATATATATGAAAGCTGTCAACAAAGTTCAAATCTCTATAAAGAGAATGTTTCTCCTCAAGTTAGTAAAGTTTGGATTCATACATTTTCTAGAGAAGCAATTACAATCTTCATGCTATATATAGGAAGAAAAATAGCTTTTAATTATGTTTGTCCACTCCTTTATTCAATAAACATTTAGTGACTATTGTGCGACACTGTTTTAGGTGCTAGAGATATAGAAATAAATCAGAAACAATCATTAGCTCTGGAGAACTAAACCTAATGGAACTGGATCTTTCACTGGCAACCTTAAAATTACCTCCCTTTGTATTTAAGTTGAAGCTCAACTTCAAACTCTGACATGCTTGGCATCTTGTTGAAAACAAATAACAATCTACCTAGTTTGCCACTGGTAGCACTTTGGCACTATTAACTATCTACTGATGAAATTAACTTTCATAAAGGATTATAAAAAAGTTTAGAGGGCAGAAAATACTAATGGGTAAACAAGTACTGGTCAGCAATAAAAATAGCATCAGCCTTCTGCTTTCACAAAAGCCAAGAAAACCAAGAAAAAAATTATTATTGAGTATATACAGAACTGCTGGAAAGAGATCATTCTATACACGTAGTACATATGCAAATATCATATATGAGGAAGTATGAGTTATGACACAATCATTAATAACTAAGCATGCCAAATCAGTCATCAGGTTTCAAAGAATCATAGCCTTCTTTTAAGAGGTCCCACCAGGTTTTAAGGAAACATGCATTTTCTGTACATTTGAAGACAAGTTCTTCCACTTGAGCTGATACTGTAGATGTGACCTCAAGAAATTGGTTAATGAAAATACTGCATCTCTGATCTGCATCTCCACTTTCTCCAGCAGGTCTACCATTCGGCCGTTGCTTGTGCTTAGACCTGGCCAGCCCAAACTCACTGGACAAGTGGGGAAGATGCTGAAAGGCGTCTGAAGATGAGGGAGAAAAGGGAGGTTCTGGGGGCTGGTGAAGAAACCCATAACTCCTCAAGGTCGGCCATGGGGAAGAGCTAGGAGAGCTCAGAATCTGACCAGCAAGAGAGCATTTTAAAACAGGTTTTTTTTTTCTTTCTCTTTTTATCACCTATGATTTTAAGAGTCCAGGTAATACAAGTAAAGTTTTACTATATAGAGCATAGAATAAAAACAGTTGATCTAAATATTTAAGAGGTATTTTGCCATGCTATTGTTGAGCTGGGGTGAATATATATTTACATTTCTGTATATCTACATATGTATGAAATATTTAGATTTGTTTTCATATATTTGCCTATTTAAAGCTTAATTTTAACAAAAGTTTTATTATTTTTCTTCTAATTATTGTCAAGGGGAACATTTTAAGAACCAGAAAGTTTTAAAAATATATATATTTTACTTATCTTCTCAAATGTATAATTCTTAGAGGGAAAACTCATATAAACTCTTCAAGAAACATCAGGAACTTTAAATTTTATTTTAAACATTAATTCCTTAACTGTGATTCACTTTGGAAACATACTATTCAATTAACTATTAATTTGAAAATTCAAAAATAGGTTTTTCCATACGTCTTACTATCAGTGAAATCAAAATGCATTTGAATAAGCAACTGGTATGCTAGAGCAGCTTTATACCCTCTCTGAGGCAGTCTATTCTCACGCCCTTCCCTTTTAGTAAACACTGTCATGTTTCTCCCTCTCATATCAGGAGAAAGACTGTCAGAAAGCTATTTTCGAGGAGGAGGAGGTCTTACCACTTATTGGCTCAGGTACCACAATTTAAGTAGAAAACACTGGACAATATAAAACACTGCCCAACTCATGTCTACTAGTGAAAAATTATTTTGATTTGTGATTATTTCAAATCTAAATTATGTTTTTAACTGTAATGGGCATTTGTCATCATTATGGCTAGCACCTTTTGAAAATCCTATGTTTGGCAAATTTTCCATGGTGAAAATCTCACTGCATCAAAATTGTATCTAGAATTTATAGTTTTCTATACTTTCTTACAGTGAGGGAGTATTCATGTGACTTGGGAACTACTGAACAGGCTTGGATTCTGAAATAAGTAATATGAAATGGTCACTGCAGCCTCCATTTCCTAGTGAAGATGGTGGAGTTTAATGGAGAGACACTGAGCTTCTAAGGTAACTGTGGCAGAGCATCAAGAAGTGACACCCTTATTGCAACATGTGGCCTGTTCCCCATGGTAGCGTTATAACTGACTGCCCTCCCCTCCAAGTTTGGAGGCTGTTCAGCCAGAAAGAGTGCCAAGTTTGTGATTATAACTTGGGCATTGTTTCCGCCTGAACAGCCTCCAAACTTGACTATCTGGCTCTCCCAGAGATTCTGTGCATTTCCCAATAGCTTTTAGTTATTATTATTATTTTTTTGCTTAAACTGACTAGACTGGGATCTGCTGTTTGCACTCAAAAACTCTTCAACAACCAAATTTGGTATAACTTGTACTTTCCTTTTACAGTGGCTGTAGTAATGGAGGATATGTCAAAACCATATTTTACTGGAAAGAATATTCAATATACTGAAACAAGACAGCTTCCTTAACCCAATCATAGTGTTAGATAACCACAAACTGAATTTAAGAAGTGTGCTTTGAGTATAATTATATGCATCTTGCAGGATGAATTTGAGGATTATCAGTAACATGTATAAAATCTTTGCCACAATCTGTGACATTTAATAGGCCTCAGTAAATGTTATGAATTATTTATTACATAATGTTAGATATATGTGCATGTTAGATGTTGATCAAATATTTATTTTATTTAATTCCCACTTGGCACTATTTTAGGTGCAGTGAACAATGCAGTCAAAAATCTCTGTTTTTTGAATTCACATTCTAATACATGAAGATTGAAAATAAATATGTCAAGCAAGTGAATATGCTTCATATTAAATTCTGACAATACCATGGAGAAAAAGCATGGGACGGGGGGTTAGAAGGGAAATATGAGAGAGGGTGGAAGAGGGTTACAATTTTAGATAGGGTATTCAGGGATGATTTCATTGAAAAAGTGATATTTGAGCACAGACCTGAAAGAGGGGTGAGCCATTATTGTGTATCTTTTTTTGTTTACTATACTTGTTTCTTGAATTATTTTCCTTTCACATTTAGTGCTTTCTGTTAGGGTATTCAATATGATTGATATGTGCAAATGTACAAGAGAGGAAAGAGTATTTCATGAAAAGGGTTAAATAAGAGCACAGGCTCTGTGGTGGGAGCCCAGTGCCTCTGGAATGGTGTGTGCATGCAAAAGAGGAGAAAATTAGTCATGTAACTAGCCAGCCGGATTATGTATGCTTTAGAGGCCATTCGTATGACTTTGGCTTACTCAGAGTAAGATGGGAATAGGAGAGTGACCTGATCTGGCTTAAACATATAACCTGAATATACTTTTTAGCCCCTAAATTAGTGAGATATAAAAGCAAGAAAAAATAATTGTCTCCCATTCCTCCGTAAAGTGGTATTGATCAAATTAAGTATTCTTAGCACTCAGTTTTAAGAAAAGTATTACATGGTATATTGTAGAGTTGAAGCAAACTGAGACTTTCCTCCCTCACCTGAGTGTAAAACAAAATGATCAATTTCCGTAATAGTGCCCTCCTGTCCTCTAATCTCTCATCCTTAGTCCCACTCATTAGAAATAAAGCCCTATTTGTTATTGACTTAACTACTTTGTCTTGCTTAGGATGCAAAGATTAGTCATCAATTCTGGTTTCTTATTATAGTATCTAATGTTCATAAATTTACTTTTCATTGTCACTTCCTCATTCATCAATGTAAAATAATCTCAATAGAAATTTCATATACAAGGGACAGAGATCCTTTTAGTTACCTTGAGAAAAAGAGTTTGACAGAAGGTGCATATGGATAAGAACTGGTCCTGAGAAAGGTCCTGAGACCATTAGGTCCTGAGAAAGCTCCAAGGACTGGTATATCTGTGGACCTCTATGCCTCTCTTAGTTCATCTGTCCATTCTCTGTTGCCTTCTTCACTGTGGTGTATCTTTTTTGCTTTCCTTTTCTTTCAGCTTGCCAGTGCCCAACTTAATTAAACCTTGCAACTTCTTCTCCTTTTCATTGTGATTTGGAGCAAATTCATGTGAATGTGGTTGTAATTCCTGGCATAGAGCATGTAAATCACCACATCTTTTCAAGCTGCATGACATATGTAATAGGTTATTAGCCAGCGTGTTAATGAGTTGCACTTAGGGGAGTTGCCTTATTCTCTCTTCCCTTTAGTTGGGACAGAGGAATGAGTTCACATGATTAAAGAACATGGCCACTTAGAATGCATGTGCAGAATATTAATAAAATTAAAAGAAAAATAATAGTGCAGAATCCTTTTCAGGTCATGTCGACATTCCAAGGAATGATTAACATATTTCAATAAAAAGTATTTGTTTACATTTTAAGAGTCAAACTAGAAAATTTGAAATTTGCTTGAAGTGGAAATGTAGAAATGTATCATAACTCTTTATGACTATTAATTTAGTGCTGAACTTCTTAATAGCAGTAGAGTGACAAACCCCTGAGAAATATGTATCCAAACCTTCTGATGAGGGGGCAATGGGTAATTTTAAAAGGCAAATTCAATATATCTATTATTTTTATAATACAAACATCAGAAAGTAAGTTGACACGATCTTGGCTGGGGGGCTATGCAGAAGATAAATTAAGAATTTTAAAAGTGAGATTTCATAAAGTTCTGTTTTCACAGAGGCAAGATTTCTATTTTGCAGATGTCATTACTGTCTTTGTAGAAAATATCACTCCATAAACAACTAGAACTAATAAGTGAGTTTAATAATCCTGTATCCATAGGATATAAGAACAATATACAAAAGTGAGTCACTATTATATATCAGCTATGAATTCTGAATTTGAATATTACAATACAATTTGTAAAAGCAGACATGTGCATACAAACCCAAATAAATAGTCATGCGTATATCTAACAAAATAGGTGTAGAATATGTATGCTGAAAACTATAAAACACTAAGGAAAGAATTCAAAGAAAAACTAAATAGAGAAATATATCATGTTCCTTAATCCCAAGGAATAACAGAGTACAAATGCCATTTCTCCCCCAATTTAATCTATAGTCTCCATGCAATCTCTGCTGATATTCCTACAAGCTTTTTTTTTTTTTTACTGATTTAATAGACTGATTCTAAAATGTATATAGAAAGGCAAAGCAACTAGAATAGCCAAAACAACTTTGAAAAATAAAAACTGGAGGACTCAAATGACCTAATTTCTAGAAATGTTATAAAGCCATAGTAATCAAAACTATGGTATTGGAGAAAGGATACATAGATCATCAGAACAGAGCAGAGCATCCATAAATATGCACACATAAATATAGTCTACCAAAATTTACAATAGTGCGAAGACAATTCATTTGAGAAAGTAGTCTTTTCAACAAATGGTGATGATACAATTGGATGTCCATATGCATAAAATGAAACTTGATACACATTTTAAGTCTCGTACAAAAATAAGTCATGAACCTAAATGTAAAACATAAAACTACAACTTCTAGAGCAATGCTTTCAAGTGGGAGTAACTTTTGTCTCCCAGAGAAAACGTATAGAGACATTTTTGACTGTCAGTACTTGGGGGAGGAGTTCACTGGCATCTAGTGGGTGCAGACCAGGGATGCCACGAAATATCCCACAATGCACAGCACAGTCACTGTCACACACACACAAATGCCACTTTCTAGTCTGGATAAATATACCATGGTTATGTAAGTATCCCTTTTTAGAGGAGCAGAAACTTGGTAAAGGGTATATGGGAATGCTTTGTACTCCCTTTGCAACTCTTCAGGGCAATAGACTATACTTCAAAGTCTAACATTTAATAATTTCCTAATTTATTTCTGTGAAGGCATCATGTACTGTAACAGATGTATTCTGCTTTGATGTCTTGCAAAATCACTTTGATTCTTCAATTAAATTTATTAAATGTGTAAATATTGCCAGTCATGTATTATATGTTAAAAATTTGAGACCAATAAAATATTTTCAAATGTCTCCTCTTTGAAGAAGCTTTCCTGTTTCATCTAACCTAAAATACTACCTTTCTCCACCAATCTTTCTGATGTTCTCCCCATGGAACTTTTTTCTGACTGTTTTTCCTTTTCTAAGGTGTATGCTCCATGAAGGCAGGGACTTTGTTGTACCTCCAGGGCCAGAACTGGCACACCAGAGATGGATGCTATTTGTTGAGTGAATGAATTACATGTTTTTTGTTGCATCTTCCCAGTAAGTGGTCTTTATTCAAACGTTGCAGCTTCAGTAAACCCCTATTTGGCTGTGAACAGATTAGTCTCAATCCTAGTATTTAATTTACTCCGAGTGAAAGTAACACCTTTCTCTTAAGCAGCAAGATGCATTAGTCTTTACAGTAAGATTTTTCATGGCAAAACAAAAACAAAAACAAAAACAAATCCATTCTTTTTCTTCCCTTTCTTTAGCTCTGGGGATGCCAGGCAAGAAGGAGATGATGGGGTAGATAATGGTTACTTTGTAATTTTCTGGAAGATCATGCTGGTTCTACTAGAAGACTTTTACCTACTTGATTGGATGCTCTTCAAGCTGAACTCCTTCCATTTGTGATAGTATTTGGACCGTTTCGAGAATATGTTATAAGGTTTTCTTTCCAATTAAATTTTTAGGTTAAAGTTCTCATTTGAATCAGAAATATAAGAAAATTTGTTATAAGCCTTGAAGATAGAAATTGGCAAACATATGTCCCCCTCCCAGAGGTAACAGGTGGTAGGTTATTAAGAGTTACTTGTTGAGCTGAGCAGTGGAGGCACACATGAAGGAATGATCAGTTTTGCCTGGGATGGCTTCAGAAAGAATGAGACACTTAGATTGAAGAAAAAGAATAAATCAGTAATCAACAATAAACAACTAAATTTTAATGTTGCCACTTACCTTAATTTTCTTCATGTAAAATATGAATATGAAATTAGCTCACTTTTAGAACAGTAGCTGAAGTAACAATGACCTCTCCCCCACTTAGAAAATTGCTGCCTTATATAGAAAAATGCACTTCATTCTTACCACTTTTTATGTGAAGGATGCAAAGCAAACCCCAGATTATTCCCAAGACAAAATGATGATTTAGCACCTTTCTTAAATATTAAATTTATGGGTCTATGACTGCAAGTATTTTTATATTTAGACATAAAAAACTTTTAGAATTTGTAATTATCAATACACTTACTTATTTCATTGTCTTGTCCTATGATATTTCCATAGATTCTATTATTTGGTCAGAATGAAAGCTAAAAGATGTTTCACAACAAATGAAATTTAGAAATCAAGGAAAATTCTGCCATATAATCCTGAATGCACCCAGAATGCATGGTGCTTTTGAGTACATAAAGTTGTTGGGCCATATTGTCCTAAATTAGTTATGTTTTTTGGTCCTATCATACCCATCTTTAAGTAAATTATATTTTATTGTAGAAATGTGTTTTCTTGATGATTTAAATGGGTATTAATAACAGAATGGCACAATGCAGTTCCCGTAGACTTGCTAACTATCGTATGTCTAGCTTTTCCCCTTAGGAACTGAAGGGAAGACAAAGATCATAATTATTTTAGGGTAGATAAAACATTTCAAATGAACAGATTATTTAAATTGTATTTAAGATAAAGTACTAAGATGAATCTGGTCAAACAATAATGAATGATGCAGGCTTAAATGCTATCAACAACTAAGGGAACATATATTAATATTATCTAGAATTATCATGGAAGTCATAGCAATTGAGGAAAAGGAATTGAGATGCCCCTTGGACCTTAAGCAAGACTGGCGTAGAATTCGCAACATCATTCTAAGCAGTAAGAACATGATGAATGAAGATTGCACATACAGAACACCATAAAGATTATCTGACCTACAATACAAGATACGTGTTTCTAGAGAAATATTTATATGGCATGGTAGGGTTGACAAAATGTCCTTCTTAAGTTGACTGTCAGTGAAAGTATGGCCTAAAGCAAATAAACTTTTCTAGTTCAGGTTTCCCATGGATCAATTTTAAGAAAATTATCTTAATCCTGAAAAGAGTATTTCCTTCAGCATATTACATGAAACCCTGTTTTAAAATACTTTTAACCAAAACCCTTTGTATAAAGCAGGATTCTCCTTGCTGTTATATTAGCTTTAATTCTATGAATTATATTAACCTTGTCTTAGATTAGGGTTTTTTAATGTAAAAATATGTTATATAATCAAATAAGTTTTAGAAATGCTATATCACTATTAATTTTTTTTTCACAGCTACATGAATGAGTTTTCAGAGCCTTTAATATACTTACATGAATTGTGAACCTCCAAGAGAAAATTTAACTCACATAAAAAATAAGTATCTTCCCTCCTCTTTTTTTTTCCTTTTTGTAGCAATGACAAGGATTAGCATTTCTTGGGACAAACTTTAGAAAATTCTGACTTAAAACATCTACATATATATTTAAAAGAAAATATTTATTGAGATAAGTCTCTAATTTTGGAGTAGATATACTTATACTCTCCCAAATCATTATTAGCCAACCTATCTTGCTAGTGGATAGGAAACAAAGAAAGGAAATGCAACAATAAATGTATGGGTAATTTTTCCAAACGTTTGGCACACAGTACAAGCTGAATACACTGTTTGAGTCCAATTTTCTCAAAAATTCAAATCTATAACAAGTGACAGAAACCAAGGAAGAAAATTTTAATAATGTTTTTAAACAAGCATTTAAAAAATATTGACCCTTATTTTGCCACAATCTCAGGGAGAATATATTTTTTTAACACTGTTAGGGAACATTATAGATAGCCTTGAAGGAAACATTTTCAAGGATAGTTTGAAGAGTTTACCTTTAGAAATGTAAATTTCCTCATTTATCTAACTAATGGTTTACCAATAGCTCCAGTAATCAGGGTAGAGATACACCACATGGTTGACCATGTTTTATGATGGAGGGAGCATAGCCTACTTAGAAAAGTCCATCTGAAGAAAGCAAGCTTGGTGAAGAGTCATTTGCTTCTAAAAAGAGTTAGTCAACTCATCTTTCTGGAGTTAACAGTGATAACCAAACAGAAAAAAATACTTGACTCAAAGTCCTGTTAATGAGGCAGTTCAGTAAATTGTACGGAAGTGTATACAATTCTATACAGCTTTCGCACCAGTGAAGGTGAAATGTCATATGGGTCAAGGAAAGTGAGAGAAGGCAGGAAGGTGTTACCAACACACACTGAGGGTGTCACCAGAGCATCCTCTGTAGATCAAATAAGGCCCATCAGCACGTAACTAGATGGTGATGAGGCTGAGAAAGAGCGTGAAGGATGTGAGTTCAGTGCAATGCAAACTGACAGCTATTTGTGGAGTTTGGCCTGCTTAGAATAGTATTTCCATTTCCCTTTATCAGTGAATGAAGACTGCAGACATTTCCAAACAGGTTTCTTTTAAAAGACTAAAATTTAACATAGAAGGTACTGTCTCATGTTGATTGTTGATAATAGGCTATTAAAGGTCATACATTCAATGAAAGCAGAAAATCAAAGAGCAGTGTAGTATTAAAAATCGCAGCACACCAACATGGCACAAGTATACATATGTAACAAACCTGCACATTATGCACATGTACCCTAGAACTTAAAGTATAATAATAATAAAAAATAAATTAAAAAAAAATCTCATCTTAAAAATTCTGTTGAGATTTATTAACTGAATCTGGCAGTGTTAATACATAGCTCATTTATTTTATCAAAGGAGAAATGTTATCCAAAGTAAGCAATTTGTAATACTGTATGAAAATATTTTATATACAGATATAGTGTCAAAATTAAATACACATATTTCATTAATTAAAAGGTAAACATATATTATTATCTTAAAAATATACCTCCCAAATTACAAAGTTACTTAGATAAGTTATAATCTATATAAATGACAAAGTAACTCATTACTAAGGTTTAACATCCTTAGACTAGGTGAATTTATTTTTTTTTATTTTATTTTTTGAAATTATCCTTTTTTCATGTCAAAACATTTGCTATACCATTTATTGAAGGTACTGTGTTACACATTCATGATTAATTCAATCTCTTGAAATCTCTTTCAGGTATCTTGGACCTTATTATGCTGTTGCTTACTTAGGTATATGACTCTCTTATTCTCATGGGCATTATCCATATATCATTGTTAACCCTAAAACATCTCCAGCACAGAAGATGACAATTTTCACTCTAAATACAGTATAATAGATTCATAGTGAACCATAAAATTATTTTGACAGCAAAGCAATGTCAATTTTGAATCTTTGAAACCATTATATACTTCATAGATTTAATGTCTGGAAATATTTAAACAGGCTTAAAAAGTATTATTGCAACTGATACCTTACATGGATTGTCTTACAAAAATCAGTACAGAATTATACTGATTGATATATGTTCACATATGTAAGAAATAGTTTGTTGACTGGAGCATTCAGTTTCCATTGTTTGTATCCATCTTCTAGTAATACAGTATGCATTTCTCAATTGCTCTAATCCGTTTTGACCATGGTGCATTCAGTAACTTCTAGGAAGCATTCCACTCTGAAAAACTGCATAAGCAGATAGATTCTTGGAGGCTGCAACTAAAGTTCATGTTTCTATATTGCCACTCCGTATTTTTCAGTGTTCTTTAGTGCCCATCAAAATTTTATTCCAACAAGTTTTTATCTTTTGTAGTAGTCTCTTTAGGAAACATGAGTCATTCAGTTTTTTCTGTTCCTTTAAAGATTTATTTTCTTCCTAGAGAATAGAGTTTTAAAAGTTTAAACTTCACATTTTTACAAAAATATATATTTTTAAATAATTTTTCATCATATTACTTTATGCTGAAAAACTGGTGTAATGAAAAGGTAGAATTTTGTGTGACTTTTTTTTTTTTTTTTTTTTGAGACGGAGTCTCACGCTATCGCCCAGGCTGGAGTGCAGTGGCGCGATCTCGGCTCACTGCAAGCTCCGCCTCCCGGGTTCCCGCCATTCTCCTGCCTCAGCCTCCTGAGTAGCTGGGACTACAGGCGCCCGCCACCGTGCCTGGCTAATTTTTTGTATTTTTAGTAGAGACGGGGTTTCACTGTGGTCTCGATCTCCTGACCTTGTGATCCGCCCGCCTCGGCCTCCCAAAGTGCTGGGATTACAGGCTTGAGCCACCGCGCCCTGCCTTGTGTGACATTTTAAAGATGATGGTTTCTAACTACCCTTGTGATAAATGACACGTAGAAAATTCAAAGTTGGTGTGATTAAAGATGTAGGATTCTCCAAAGAGCTATATCAGCTGACCGCCAGTTTCGCAGTTTAACAGTGGACATAATATACTGTTTAGAATTTCATGAGAAAGGTAATTGTAGATTACTCAGTTGAGTTTCTTTAATGTAGAAAAATGTATTTTTAATGGGAAGAATAACCAACATCGAAAATACTCAGATTATTTTGCCAAAGATAATTAATAAGGATATAGCTGATGGAGCTTGTACCCTAAGGTCTACTCCAACAATTAACTTCACTGGAATATGTCAGATGCCTGCCTCATAAGCTAGGTTTTAGCACCTGACAAGAATCTTAAAAAGGGCTACGTGTACAACCTATAGGAAGAAAGAGATACTTGGCATGAACAGACATATAAAGGAGTAACTCCGTATAGACTCAGTTATATTTCTCTGAGTTCTCTGACCTGTGAGAATGGGAATACTGCAGGGTAGAGTAATTCTTCACTTAGACAACTACTAGTTAATCACAAATATAAAGCATACTAGTGACTTTTACTCCTTCCTAGACCAGGAGGTAATATCAGTTGTTTGTTTTACACTCTTTACAGTTGAGCCCAGACTTGAGGGTTAAAATCAACATAGTGTTTTCAACAATCACTGCTAAGTAAATGGATGTGCAAACAATATAAAAACTATTATAACTAGTTATTACAACTAGTTATTCGGTAACTAGATAATTTAGATAACAGGTTATTGGGTATTCTCTTAGTCATGTATTGTGCTCAGTGTTTTACATAATTTACTTCATTTTATTTGCTTAATCATCTTATGAACTTGATGATTTGAACTCATTTTACAGATGCAAAAACTGATCTGCAGGAAGATAAATAAGCTACTACCGTATATGTCAAGTAAATATAATAACTGAATCTTGAGCTCCTCTGTCCTATATTTAATTTGGCCACAAATTCAGATCTCTTTTTGTCATGTATTAGTAACACTAGCACATACTTTTTAAAGAATACATTTCAAAGATTAAACAACAGATCTCAAAGGGAAATATAAAGGCAAACTTTTCATATTATTTTCAATAAGGGGTCCTGGACAATTTTTTTAAGTACAAGTTGAAGTTGACTTGTCTAAGCAGATTTGAAATATATAGATGTGAAAATTTCATACTTTTCCTCGGACACGGAGAATAAGCATTCACTAAAAAGTAAAAAACAGGGAATCTTGGTTTTACCACTGCATCCTGGGAAAATAGTTGTTTTCTTTTCTTGTCTTTTTTTTTTGTTTTTTGTTTTGTTTTGTTTTTTGGTTTTTGTTTTGAGATGGAGTCCCACTCAATTGCCCAGGCTAGAGTGCAGTGGCATGATCTTGGCTCACTACAAACTCCGCCTCCTGGGTTCAAGCATTTCTCCTGCCTCAGCCTCCTGAGTAGATGGGACTACATGCGTGCACCATGCCCAGCTAACTTTTGTATTTTTAGTAGAGACGGGGTTTCACCATGTTGGCCAGGATGGTCTTGATCTTTCCACCTCGTGACTCGCCCACCTCGGACTCCCAAAGTGCTGGGATTACAGGTGTGAGCCACCGCACCCAACCTTTCTTTTCTAAATTTCCTTTCCAAATTATCTTAGTCGAAAGCCTTCAGGGTGTTTATATTGTTTTTAGCTCCTGTATTAATTTCAGATGTTCCACTTTGCATGGAATCCGTAGAGTTTCCTAAATCTAAGTATACAGGCTCACTTTGCTTTTCTGAAAAGAATAAGGAATTTCCATGTTGCCACATAGCTATTGGTCAAATAATGGAAATGTAAAAGAAGAATCCATCACTTTTATGAACCAGGTGTGCTCATTTTTCCATGCCTCAACCTAATTAATATCTATATCATTTTAAAGTTTAGTCAAATCCAGTTAAGTATTCTGCCTTATTAAGTCATTCATAAATATTTTCCGTATTATTGTATAATTTATCTAATAATATCTAGTAGTATATGTATAAATATATGTTTATATACTATTACATATTATACTGTACAATCTACAATAATAAAAGAGGTATAAGATAAGTCCTTATTGTTTAATTTTTATTTCTTTACAAACTAACAGGGATGGCTTTTTTTCTTCATGTATTTTTCATCTAGTTTATTTTCTCCTATATAAATTATTTATTTCTTTTACCTACTAGCTACAATATTTTAATGTTGCTGCTTCTAAAAAAAATCATGCTTTGGCATTTGCCCTAACAGCTTCTCTTTTAAAATAGTGGGTTTAAAAATGCAATATAAAGGACTCGAATTTTTGAGGGGCACCTCACTTCTCCTTTTATCAATGTTATGATAAATTATTTCAAAACCAGCTATAAGAAGGAAACAATTCAAGATGAAAAATTAGGAATTAAGTTGAGTGAAAAGTTGATGAACCATAAGGAAAATTATACAATTATTCTCACCAAACTCTTTGTTGGTTGGGGTTCACCCAGGGCAGCTGGTTTTCTTCCTTTAACCTTAAAAACAAAGTCACATTTATGATATTGAATATTTCTTCATTGCTCCTCCAATTGTTTGTAATTGCTAATTTTCATATTGCCTTCAGCTCTTCTAATCTATTTGAGACTCTACTTTAAATTTCTTATTGTTAAGAAAGTAAAACACTAATATGACTTAGAAATGGAATGTCAGGGTAAAGGAAGAAGCAAGAGAGTTCAATCTTCTGAACACCCAGAATCCATAATTTTGTAGGTATGCCTAGCACTGTGAAAAATTAACATAGTAGGGTATACTAGCAGAGATAAAACTTGAATTTTAATCAATATAAAAATAAAGTTAACAATAAATTGTTAAATCCTGGCCATACATTTTATTAAGCTTCACTTATCAGAAACAAAATGAAATAAAACAATAGTAAAAAGCGTGTGGCATGCCTGCCTCATGAAGAAAATTCAGTGTAGCTGATTGCTTTAACATCTTGCCTTGTTATTTTCAAGAAAAGGGTAACTGGTATCAAGTTAATCAATGTTGTAAAATAATTTAATTTTAAATTATTTGCATATTTTCTTTCTCTACGGTTAGTTAATTTTGGAACATGATGATCCATACAAAGCTCAACACATAAGAGAAAGAATCACAAATATATAACATACCTAAGACCTTTACCCCTTCCTAGACCAAGAGGTGATATCAGTTGTCTGTTTTACACTTTTTTCAGTTGAACCAAGAGTGGAGGCTTATAATCAACATAGTATTTTCAACAGTCACAACTAATTAATTGGATGAACAAGCAACATACAACCTATTTGCATTAGACAGTACTTTGAAATAACTATAAGTAGGAATGAAGAAATGGTAGACTAGAGTAGGAAGTCTTCATGAATCTTGAGCTTAACCTTGAAGGCATAGAACAAAATAGATCCAATTTATAGAAAAAGAAAAGTAGAAATGCTCTCTAGGGGACAAACGTAAGGACCCAGGTTTGGAAATAAGCTTGGCAAATCCAGCACACTAAGAGGAGACTGGCTTCCATCGAGTACATAAAGCAATGATAAATGAGGCTGTCCAAGTTATATAATAGACAATCTACATTTTTATCACATCAATAGGGTTCAAAGATAATCTTACCATTTTACCTTCCATGGGAAACTACTAGTGCTCAAACAAAACAAAATTATTTTTTAAGTCATAAAAATGTTATTTAAGAAAACATTTAAAACCATAAAATAACCTTTTGATTTTGTGTGGCAGCTGGTAAAAATCCATAAAGAGGTAAATAATACAAATAAAATAAAACATTGTATTAAATATTGAAAACTTTTTAGTACTAAGCACTTTACATGTGTTATGCCATTTAATCCTTTCAAATCCTACAATATAGATATTATGTTTTTCTGCATTTCGTAGATAAGGAAACTGCTGTCCAGTCTCTAGATGATGTCTTTCATATTTGGTTTTGTTGTTTTAGTTCATAACCACTAGTAGAAATGTAGGAAAATATTAGCCCTATTTGTATCAAAATTATTTAAAGAAGGGGAAATTGTTGGACATATATATGTCTAGTTTAAGCATAAAAAGATATTTGTTAAATACATTTGATTTCCTTTTTTATTCACTAGGAGTTCTTATAAATGTGTACATATATGGATTAAAGCTATTAATGAGTTTTAGATATAGAAATTTACCATTCTCCACCCAATATATCACCCTAGTATCCTTGGAAGTTATTATGGCAATGAAGCATTTATTTATTTATTTTTTACTCCCCTTTCACAAACAATTCACTCTAGCCAAGATATAAACAAGTATTTCCAAACCGAGCCTTTCCTCTTCTAGGATTGAGTAAATATACTTCAACTTTAGATGATAATAAACACTTAGGATTCTATGATAATGGATATAATCACCAGAGAATAGTGGTATCTTGGCACAGGAGTAGTTAATATTTTCATTCAAAGTAAATAGTCCTTAGCTTACCTTGCCGGTGCAGTTCAACAGTATTGTTGTGCCTTCTGAAACTTTTAATAAGTGGAGATCAAAATCACCAGTGCTATTCATTTTAAGAAATTGCCTCAACTTGCGAGCAGCACGGAATAAAAACATACCTTCCTATTATAAGAAAAAGTCAGAAGGGCCATGGTTCAAATAAAGTATTAATAAATGATAAGCTTTCTTAAGGAGCCTAGAGCTTGAGCTGTATTGGTAGATAATGCCCCACCTCCACCCCAGCTTTCTATTCCAGTTAATCATGTGACTGACAAGTAACAGAACTAAAACTGTTTGACTCCTAGGTGACAGCAAGAAGTTCTTGGAACTTGGTTTAATGATTATCTTGACTTTTAAAGTTTGTTTTCTCTATTATGCTTATGTGATCTTATCGCTTATATGTGAATATATTACAAGATTATTCAATTTTAAACATGATAGCTGAAGGAGAAGGCTTCTGGAAGCAACAATATATTATAAGAGGTATGTGTGGTTTTTTCTTATTATTTCTTGCATCTTTTGAGCTATGGATGTATAGCTGATAATAAGAAAATAAAGGACTGTAGTCACCTAAAACGTAAGTTTTGCAGTTATTTAAATTAAGATATTTTTTAAAAAGAATTTATGGTTTTGAGATGCCATGAGGCTAACTTAGCTACTGTGAGTTTTTAAAAGACTATGAAATAGCACACCCGTTTCTGTAAGGAGAAATGACATAAACTCTTTAGGTTTTGTCAAGTGTAATATTATACCAACTAGATGTCGTAATCATTTAGAGATAAGCAAATACTGACAGAAAAAATTTCAAGATGCTTCCGACTAAATTATACCAATGACTTATATTTGTATGTGTGCAAGCAATCACATTAACAAGTATTTTTCTGTATAAGAACTTTTAGAGGCCGGGCACGGTGGCTCACGCCTATAATCCCAGCGCTTTGGGAGGCCGACGCAGGCTAATCACTAGGTCAGGAGATCAAGAAACCCTGTCTCCACTAAAAATACAAAATTAGCTGGGTGTGGTGGTGCATGCCTGTAGACCCAGTTACTCGAGAGAATCGCTTGAACCCAGGAGGCGGAGGGTACAGTGAGCCGAGATTGCCCACTACACTCCAGTCTGGCAACAGAGCGAGACTCCGCCTCCAAAAAAAAAAAAAAAAGAAACAAAGAAATTTAGAAATAAGACATAGGTGTGTCTTTGAATTTGACAACTCTAGTATTTTCAAGGTAAAAAAATAGAATGATTAAACAGAAAGAAAACTTGTTATCTAATAAACACAGGGCTATTTGTAAAATTGGACCATAGTATGATCTAATCAATGGGAATTATGTGGTCAGACTGCAAATATTAATAGTATTCATATAATTCTCTAACAGAGGCACAAAAAATATAAGCTTCTATAAAATCAAGCTTGAATGACAAACTCCAAATAATTATCATTACCTTATTATCATCACATAGATGTCTTTTAAAAAAGTTAAATTCATTATTCAGGCAATTGCTACCAATTTCTTTCATGCTGTCCTGTAATAAATAACATAAAATAATGAGGTTAAAACTGAGTACTTTTCTAATATCTTATAATTATAAAAATAATAATCTTATAATATCTGGTATTTACATGTGCATTTTAAGGAAAATAACTTGCCTGGCTCAGCTGACTAAGCATGAGGAATAGTTTCCTATAGTTGAAGGATAAATAAGTGTATACAAAAATTCTTCCATATTTAGAGCCCCTCCCAGATCCCATAATTGAATTCCAGAATTCACTAAGAGAATCTGGCTCATCTAGGGAAATAAAAGTATCTATTTTAAAAGTTATGCTATATAGACAAAGTATTATAAAATGTGAAGTCATTAAGTTGAGATGAATTTAAGAGGTTATTCAGTCAAATTTCCTCCCATCAACAAACAACAAGAAAAGGAATTTATATTAGAATTAAGGGATCCATATAAAGCTCAACACATAAGAGAAAGAATCACAAATATATGACATACCTAAGACCTTTACTCCTTCCTAGCCAAGAAGATTTCAGTTGTATGTTTTACACTCTTTTCAGTTGAGCTGAGACTGCAGGCTTATAATCAACATAGTATTTTCAACAGTCAACTAATTAATTGGATGTGCAAGGAATATAAAACCTATCTGCATTAGACAGTACTTTGAAATTGACAGTGAGAATTAAGGTTGAAATTTATTCACAACATTTTTAGCAATGCAATTTTCTGGGATGGTTAAGGTAGAATTTTCCTGAGACACGGTGTAATTGCATGTGTGTGTATTATAAACATAGGAGTGGGAAAGCAGACTGGTATGTGCTCTTTTTTTTTTTTTTTTCATTTATAAGGAATGTAGTAGAAAAAGGTAGAGATTACCTAAATCAATAATTTAGTTGATATTAAGAAAAACTTCCTAAGGTTTCAGATTTTCGTATGCACCGGATTGGACTAACTCTGTCCAGCAAACTAGCAATTCTATGCTATCAGAGCTTCTAGGACTAAAAGCAATCTTAGCCTACATAATGTCTCCAGAGAAACAGGATAAGAAGTGGAGCAATGGCAGGATTTAGTCATGGGCTTTGAATCCTCATCTGCCTCTCAGAAAAGTGTTCATTACTCTTATCTCCTGTGAAAAGCATGATGATGTCTGGGTTTACCCTTATTTAAAAATGTATATACTATCAGTTTTATCTAGAAGAAGTGTCTGAATACATACATCTCAAGTGTAAAAGATACATTTTCAATAACTATCTTCACATTGCCATTGTACATATTCCTGAAAATGTAGTGGATAATTAATATTTGCCTATTAAGTTATTTTCATGTTGACTTCCCCTTACCCAAAGGACAATAACTCATACATATTTTTTTCTTTGATAAAACATAGAGTTTTTAATTTTTACCATGTCATCCTTCAAAAAAGAAGTTGAAATATGTGCAGCTACTCTATATGATATCTTCCAATTCACCAAAAATATCATGAGAGACAATATGTCACATAATGAATGCCAATTTCTTGAAACATTTTAGCAAATTGCATGACACACGAATATTTAAAAAGCCATATTGGTTAGGTGGCTGTTCTAGGTTATTAATAAAACTTATTTTTGGCAGATCCACAGAAAGATAATGTTATACCAGTTGATTTTTTTTTTACCTAATGCTTGATACAGAATGTAAATGTGTTACTATAGCCTTAAAAAGTTGACTCCTATAGAGGTCACAGTTATTCATCGACCTTAGTACATTTTATTAATGCATCCGGTATAGATCTATATGACTGCCAATTACTGTTGCTTTCTAAAATACTCTTCATTCATGCCCAGTCAGAAGAATGGCTCAGAGTAAGAATTACAGATACATGGTGTTGGAAAGAAACTTAAATGGCCATCTTTTGATTTAACAAAGAATAGAATTACTTGACCAAAGTCACAATAATTGTTTATTATTCACATGTCACATATGTCCAGATGCAAATAAGAAATCACAGCTGGGCACGGTGGCTCACGCTTGTAATCCTAGCACTTCGGGAGGCCAAGGCGGGTAGTTCGCGAGGTCTGTAGTCCGAGACCAGCCTGGCCAACATTGTGAAACCCCATCCCTACTAAAAATAAAAAAAAATAAATAAAAAAAAAATTAGCTGGGTTTGTTGGCACATGCCTGTAATCTCAGCTACTTGGGAGGCTGAAGCAGGAGAATCGCTTGAACCCAGGAGGCGGAACTTGCAGTGAGCCAAGATCACACCACTGCACTCCAGCCTGGGCAACAGAGCAAGACTCTGTCTCAGAACAAAAAAAAGAAACAAATCATATATCACATATGTCAAGATGCACATAAACAAATTTCTTCAAATATTTTATGACTGTGGAAAATCAAAAGAGAAAAGCCAGGATTATAAGACTGAACTGCAGTATTTTCTAGTACAAAACATGACGTTGCCTAAGTTCTTTTTTTTAGGTGAAGTTATTTATTTATTTATTTATTTGAGACGGAGTCTCGCTCTGCTGCCCAGGCTAGAGCGCAGTGGCCGGATCTCAGCTCACTGCAAGCTCCGCCTCCCGGGTTTACGCCATTCTCCTGCCTCAGCCTCTCGAGTAGCTGGAACTACAGGCGCCGGCCACCTCGCCCGGCTAGTTTTTTGTATTTTTTAGTAGAGACGGGGTTTCATCGTGTTAGCCAGGATGGTCTCGATCTCCTGACCTCGTGATCCGCCCGTCTCGGCCTCCCAAAGCGCTGGGATTACAGGCTTGAGCCACCGCGCCCGGCCGAAACCTAGTATCCATTAGTTGTTTTTTGATCCTCTCCCTCTTCCTACCATCCATCCTCTAAAAGGTCCCTGTGTGTATTGTTCCCCTGTGTGTGTCCATGTGTTCTCATCATTTAGCTGCCACTTATAAGTGAGAACATGTGGTAATTGGTTTTCTGTTCCTGTATTAGTTTGCTAAGGATAATGGCCTCCAGCTCCATCCATGTCCCTGCAAAGGACATGATCTCATTGATCTCATTCTTTTATATGGTTGCATAGTGTTCCATGGTGTATATGTACCACATTTTCTTTATCCAGTCTGTTATTGATGGTCATTTAGGTTGATTCCATGTCTTTGCCATTGTGAATAGTGCTGCAATGAACATACACGTGCATGTGTCTTTAAAACGGAATGATTTATATTCCTTTGGGTATATGCCCAGTAATGGGACTGCTGAGTCGAATGGTATATCTGTCTTTAGGTCTTTGAGAAATTGCCGTACCATCTTCCACAATGGCTGAACTGATTTACATTCCCACCAACAGTGTATAAGCATTCCCTTTTCTTCCCGACCTTGCCAGCATGTTATTTTTTGACTTTTTAATTATAGCCATTCTGACTGGTGTGATATGATATTCCATATTTCTTGGAGGTTGTGTTCATTCCTTCTCATTCCTTTTTCTCTACTCCTGTCTGCCCGCCATATTTCATAAAGTCAGTCTTCAAGCTCTGAAATTCTTTCCTCTGTTTGGTCTATTCTACTATTAATACTTGTGATTTTATTATGAAATTCTTGTAGTGTGTTTTTCAGCCCTATCAGGAGGATTAAGTTCTTCTCTATACTGGCTATTCTGAACCCTTACTGGAGAGGTAATGAGGTCAGTTGGAGGAAAGAGGGCACTCAGGCTTTTTGAGGTTTCAGCATTCTTGCTCTGATTCTTTCTCATTTCTGTGAGCTTATCTAATCTACCTTCAATGTTCGATGTTGCTTACCTTTGGATTTTTTTTTTTTTCTTTTTTTTCCTGGCACAATTCAGCCACTTTACCATAGGGATGCTGTGGTTTGCGGGGGGGTGTACTCCAGTCCCTAGTTGCCTTGGATTTTTCAGTAGCTGAAGGTATCACCAATGAAGGCTGCAGAACAGTAAAGATGGCAGCCTGCCACTTCTTCTAGGAGCTCTGGCCCAGGGAGGTACGAACCTGTTGCCCGGTGGAATGCACCTGCAGGAGGTGGCTGGAGATCCTGGTTGGGAGGTCTTGCCCAGTCAGGAGGAAGAGGATCAGGACCCACTTATAGAAGAAGTCTGGCCATGCTTTTGTAGAGGAGCTGTGCAGTGCTGGGGTAACGCTTCACTCCTGTTGGCTTGGGCTCTCTAAAGCCTGCAGGCTGGACAGGCTCAGTACCCAAATAGCAGAGATGGCAGCCCACCCCTCCCTCTGGGACCTCTGTCCCAGGCAGTTTTCAGATCTCTGTAGGCCAGAGAACACCGGCGGGGATGGCTGGAGGCCCTGCTTGGGAGGTCTTGCCCAATAAGGAGAGATGACTCAGGGACCTGAGTCTGACCACGTGTTGGTCAGAGCAGTTGTGCTGTGTTGGGGGATCCCTTCTGCCCCTGATCGGTTTGGACTCTTCAAAGCCTGCAGGCTGAAAAAGATCACTCACCCAAACAGTGAAGATGGTGGCCTGCCCCCTCCCTGGGAACTCTGTCCCAGGTAGGCACAACACTGCTGCTGGTGGCTGGCTGGAATTCCAAGCCAATGTGTCTTATCCTTTGAGGCACCATGGAAGTGGGGCTCACAGACCATTGCTCCTTGGACCCTGGATTCCGCCTCTTTCCTAAGGGTATGCACACAGATCTAATATCCTGCTTTTCTGGAGATGCAGTTACTTTTGCCGGGAAGCCTGGAGCTGGAATATCTAGTTCCTGTTCTCCAACATGTGCCTGAGCAGCTGCTCTGCCAAGACTCCCATATCTCTGTGCGTTAGACTGAAAGCCCTGGTGGAGTGGGTTCAAGAGGGGATCTCCCAACTCGAGGTTGCAAAGATCCGTGGGAAGAGTGTAGTTTCCGGGTCACATATTCACTCACCACTTCTCTGGGCAGGGGAGGTTCACCTGGCTGGGTGTTGTGCCCAGGTGGGCTGTCGTCCTGACTTTCTTTTCTACGTTCACCATGGGTCAAGTTGTTTCCTTGATTAATCCCAATGCGAGAACTTGTACGTTTCAACTGAAGGTGCTGTATTTACTTGCCCTTTTGTTCCTCTTTGTGAGAACCACT